TGGGCAGTAGGTATAAAAAAGTTGACTACCCCTGCTATAAACCCTGGATTTTCCTCACTGTATGTAGAGCAGGGGTCCCCAACCGCCAATCCGTGGACTAGGACTGGTCCACGACATGCCAGAAACTGGGCTGCGCAAACAAGCAAAGCTCCATCCACGGGATACAGGAAGCACGGATAAACCTCTCTCCCCGGAATTGGTCACTGGTGCCCCAAAGGTTGGGGGCCCACTGATGTAGGGTGTGGCCTTCACAGATGACTCCCTTCAATTGTCAAAAATCAGATTCAGCCTTGCACATGCTGTACACCAGGAGTGTCAAACTCGATTTCACTGAGGGCTGCACCAGGGTTGTGTTGACTTTAGGGGGACAGGGTGGGTTTGGCAAGGGTGGGCATGGCCAGCTTGATGTCACTTGTGTTGGGGGTGCCTGTGGTGGCCCGAGCGCTCTGCCAGAGAAAACAGGTTCCTGAGCTCTGTTTTCTGCTGCGACAGCCTCCTGCAACCCTCTGCCAGCAAAAATGGAGCTCGGGAGGGCTGCATGCAGCCGTCCCAAGCTCTGTTTTTGCCGGCAGAAGCACTGCGGGTCAATCCTTCACTGCTTCTAGGGTGCTCTCATGGGCCAGAGCTAAGCATCTCGTGGGTCGGATGCGGCCCCCAGGCCTTGAGTTTGACATCCCTGCTGTACACTATAAGGAAAAAATGATCAAGAAGATCAGGATGGGGAACAAGTTAAGAAAAAAAGATGGAATGTGTAAGCATATATTTTATGCAATGAATAAATGAATTTAAAATATATTGTTGCTCATGTCCTGTTGTCCAGGAAAATAAATTTTTGCCAGATAAGAAAAACACATTATTGTACTACAGTTCACCTTCCCCCACCCTAACATTGAAAATAAATTATTCTGAACCAATCTCTCTGTCTCTCCCCCTCTCTTTCTTTCACTTCACAGGATAATACTTTCCAATTATCTCTTGGTTTGGCTGACAGTGTCACATCAAAAGAAACTGGGTTCCTTTTCAGCCAAGCAAGTAGACAAGAAGCAAAGGAAAAGCATCAACCTGGATTTGAAGAGGAAGATCATCAAAGCACTTGATGAGGGATAGAAAGTGAACATCATAGTGCAAGAAGAAGGGCTAGCCCATTTCACCATCTCTGCTTTCATCTCCCCTATTCTGAAGGATAAAGAAAGGATCAGAGAGGTGTTTAAAGGAGCACCAGAATGGATGCCATTATCGCAAGAAACCAAAACTGTTTTTGTTTTGGATTGAGGATCAAATCTAAAAGAGGATTCTGATTAGACTTCTTTTCATTCAGGCTAAGGTGCACAGCAGTTTCATAGTGCTGAAGGAAAGACTGGAGAGGGGTACTTCATGATATTCACTGCCAGCGGTAGATGATTTATGTGGTTTCAGTGAAGATTCAATTATCACAATGTACATGTAACAAGTGAAGCCACAAGCACCAACGAAGAAGCTGCCCAGATGAACTTGATGACATCATAGCAAAAGGCAACTCTTTGCCTGAACAGAAATTCAACATGGACGAAACAGGTGTTTTGGAAGAAAATGCCGGAGTGGATCTATATACACGAAGGAGGGAGGCCAAAGCGACACCTGAATATAAAGTGTTCAGTGACAGAATAGCACTTCGCATTAGCACTTAGACTTATATAGCACTGTAGCAATAGCACTTATATTCATGTTGCATTTATATTTTACCGACAAAGAAATAAAAGGAGACTAGTATGTCTAGTTTAATGAAAAGAGGGACTAGGGGTGACAGTATAGCAGTGGTCCGATATCTAAGGGCAGCTACAAAGAGGAGGGAGTCAACACTATTCTCCAAAGCACCATAGGGCAGGACAAGAAGAAATGGGTGGAAACGAATCAAGGAGAGAAGCAACTTAGAACTGAGGAGAAATTTCCTGACAGTTAGAACAATTAATCAGTGCTTCAACTTGCCTCCAGAAGTTGTGAATGCTCCAACACTGGAAGTCTTTAAAAAGATGTTGGATAGCCATTGGTCTGAAGTGGTGTAGGGTTTCCTGCCTAAGCAGAGGGTTGGACTTCAGGGTCCCGTCCAACT